GTGTGGATTTTTATCTTGGTTTCAAAGGATGCGTGTGGAGGTAGACGCGCGAAAAGCACGTTTTGAGCGGTCTCTACTGCTGCCCTGTGCCAGAATTTTGGACTTGTTTTTTTTGCGATGCCTTCCGACTGGTCTGATGTGTCTCGAGTGCATTTTCTGGCGCTCTTGCGTTTGTTTTCGAAATTAGGCAACACAGCAGGAGGTTGTCCGGGTACCCTTAAACCTCTCCTAAACCTCTCCTAAACCGAACCTGCCCCCCCACCCCCTATAGCCCACCAGCTGCCCCCCACTGCAGCAGCTCAAGCAGCTGCGGCGCCCTGAAATCTGCCCTCGAGGGCTGGCGGGGACCGGCCTGCCCTCAAAACGCCTCCGGAACTAGCCATTATTACAGAACCAATTTTTGGATTGATCTGCTACACTCAGCACACGACACCCCAGCAGCACACAGCAGACGAACAACAGCAGCACACAGTATGCCGACAACACAGCAGTACGGGAAGGGCCATACTGTTCCAAGAGGAGGGGTTAGTGGCGCTGGAAGCCGTGTTGTGCGTGCTATGGACACGCGTATTCTCTGTGTGTGTATTTTTATTATTTGCATCGACCGCGCTAACCGGCTGACCAATTAAAAGACATCAGTCTCAGCGCGGTTGAAAACACGAAACACTTTTATCTGCCATGAACTCGGAAATGTGCGTGCTCGTGAAACAAAATTGGAACTCGCGTCGCGGAAGAAAATATCATGTACTGCTACTGCTGTCCGGTGTCCTTGTCTATGCAAGTATCCTTGCAATGTATTCTAGTCCAAAGCATTCCCTGCTTTTTGGTTGGCCGTCGTTGGTAGTTAGTGCGTTTGTTTGTTCCGCATAAGTACTCTGCACAGCAAAGTATACTCCGGGCATACCTACTGTAAATCTACATTGTAAATGAAACGCAGGGATGATACCTCAAAAACATGGCCGCAGAAGGACGTCGTCATTCGCTGCGACCCCGTTGCTGTTGTCGACAAAGCCGCACCAAGAACGGCTCGAAACATAACTCAGCTCGCGCTCACGAACAATACTAGCGTCGTCCAGAAAAGGCACTGCAGCACGGCAACTCAAGGATACTCCCACGCCCAGTCTACCCCCATGCCGCCCCGCAAGACTCCGAGCTGAATTCGTTCTCACCCTCACCCTAACCCTAAGCCATTTCCCGGGACATATGTTCGCTAAGCCTGCACGCTTCTCGACGCCAGAACAGCAAAAAGTAATACACCCAGACAAAACACAACTCCAACCCCCCCAGGCTCCTACGGCACCTCCCTGAATTGCATTCTGCCCGCCACCACGGGTGTCTCTCTTAGCCGTCGAAGTGCGCCTCTTGGTTTATCCTGCCTGCCTCTTTTTCGGGGGCGATTGCACCTGGTCCAAAAATGTTACATCTTGGTCCGTCGAAGGCGGAGGCTGCCCGTGGTTCTCGCCGGCCCGAAGTCTTTCGCCATTCAATCTTGATTGCTGGAAACTCTCCGGCGCACAGGAGTTTGTCGCGTCAAAAGCCGAGGGCGCGAGACCTAGCGAAACTTGCCCCATCCCGCCTCGAGGTGCGTTGCTCAGGGAGCGAAGCGGTGCGCCCAAGCCCCCCACCTGGGGTGTCCCATTCGTGGGTGCGGGGTCGACACCCACAGCAGTGCTGGTGCCGCCAGCCCGGCGGGCCGACACATCCACGACATGGCTTAGCATGCTCGCCGCCGAAAGACCAAGGCCTGCTCCCCCCCGNTTCAATCTCCTCGTCGGTCATCTCGATTTCGAACGTTCGTGGAGGGTCGTGCTCGCCTCCGCTCGCCCCTGAGCCCCCAAGGTAGTGGTGCAGGCACATCCGCGACTGAGTTATGGGGATTGGACAGGCGATCACGGGCACCGCACAAGAAGGGTGTCGAGAGAGGGCCGATGGGGTGTGAGAGTATTCAAAGGGTTACATTCTAACTGGCGGCGCTCCTATACCGGTACCCCGAACGACACCATGCGCGTGGGAAATGTCTTGCACCACTCCATGTGCGGTCGGCTAAGCGTATAACACGCCAGCAAACTTACGCTCGACATGGTCGGACTTGCTTGATTTGCCGGTCAGTTCGCCGCCATGTAAAACTGGCAGTCCATCTGGGAGTCGAGTCGAAATTTGAAATCACAATTGTGTGCCGGTTGTGCGGGGGGAAGCGGTACGTCAGCGCGGGCAGGGTTGGTTTCGCCATCGATCTTGAAAAACGAAGGAACGTGTTATTGCCAGCACACACACAACATGACCAAACGCCTTTCGGGTGCAATACGTAGATTCGGTCGTCGACAGTAAAGCCGATATATACTTCAAAAAGCAGCAGTGTAACACTCCGTATGGCGATTCAAGTTTGCAACCTCAACACGGTCGAAATATGTGCTGTGCCGAGGACAAGCGCTAAGACAGGGTTACAACATGTTTTCCAAGACCACCACCAAGAAAACGGCAGTGTTCAGAGAACAACCCGTGCATTCATAGTTGTGAATTTGGCAGGACTTCCGGAGAAAGAAAACATGCGGACCGGTGCGGACATGGGTGCTTCGGTGATGAAGATGGGAGCATGCCAGAGGGGTGCGTTACGAAAAACAATCTATGGTACAAAAATACACCTACGCAAAACAAAACAAAACAAGACAGAAAAAATGTGCCCTTCATTGCTAGACGAACTTTTAGACATCCCACTCTACAGCCAAGCGGGTTCCATGATGCTGATGTTGTGGATTTTTTCATCAGGCGCCGTCTTCAGGCTTCGAGTGTTTTTCCACATTGAACTCGGCGAGCCCCGAGGTTCGCCGCCTACTTTTTCCGCCCATCGGCAAACAGACGTAGGACCGAACAAAAACAAGCAGCTTCGGCAAGCCCGACAAAATCGTAATCATGTTCATATTCTATCGTCTCACAAACAGATCACCACCTTCGTCGTCGTTGTGCCCTTCGTCGGGTTCGACCGCTTGTCCGGCGTACCACTGCTGTGCTTGCAAACGAATTCGACGCGTCTCCACCTCTTCTTGGTCATCCGAGCGTGCTCCACGGCTCCAGCGTAAAGCTGGCCGGACGGTGAAACGGATTGTTTTCATGTGCCAGTGGCGGGTTACAGGTACAGCAGTTTCACCATGGTACATTTCCAACGTAGTAGTACATTTACTGGTGGTGAGCAAGCGCCGTACGCATGCTCATATGCCCCCGCGTGTGCTTTTCAGTGTACGAGACAGCGGAAAGCGAAAAGAGCGCCCCGAACCAGCCTGCGAGAGGGCACGAGGCCGAACGAGCTGTTTCTAGCCGAAACGAACTACTTTCTCGAGCCGGCTGTTGATAGAAGCTACGCGGAGCACTCAGTGCGCACCCTCTGCTTGTTTCGCCGTACTATCTTGTGCGGCTTGAAGCGCGCTACAACGGTGTTAGCGACATGGGCACATGTGCCCTCCCCGCACTCCTGCCCCTCTTCGTATTCAATGAAGGGGAACTGCGTGTTCGATAACTAATCCTTCAGCCGCGACATATCCGCGGCAAATTGCAACGACGCGACCAAACGGCGATTTATTATTGTCTACATAAGCGGAGAGGGCCGAGAGACCTGCCGTGCCCTGCATGCGTTGAATATCGACAGCAGTACTATGTATGTGGGAATGCAAGCAGGTAGTCTACTTATGTACTACTCCGTATGTGCGGGCAGACAGAAGTCCTGCATGCATGCATAGACGACGTGTGCTCTGGCTACATGCAGTGTCTATCGCACCTTCGGATCTCCTCAATTGGATAGCCTGCAGAGCTGCTCCAGGAGGTGGCAGAGCGATGCTTGGCGCTGGCGGGGCAGTGGTTGAAGCTGGAGGGGCGGTGCTTGGAGCTGCCGGGGCAGTGGTTGGAGCCGGAGGGGCGGTGCTTGGAGCTGGAGGGGCGGTGCTTGTGGCTGGAATGGCGGTGCTTGTAGCTGGCGGGGCGGGGCTTGGAGCGGGAGGGGCGGTGCTTGGAGCGAGAGGGGCTGGTCTTGGAGCCGGATGGGCGGTGCCTGGAGCTGGGAGGGCGGTGCTAGAAGNTCTATCGCACCTTCGGATCTCCTCAATTGGATAGCCTGCGGAGCTGCTCCAGGAGGTGGCGGAGCGATGCTTGGCGCTGGCGGGGCAGTGGTTGAAGCTGGAGGGGCGGTGCTTGGAGCTGCCGGGGCAGTGGTTGGAGCCGGAGGGGCGGTGCTTGGAGCTGGAGGGGCGGTGCTTGTGGCTGGAATGGCGGTGCTTGTAGCTGGCGGGGCGGGGCTTGGAGCGGGAGGGGCGGTGCTTGGAGCGAGAGGGGCTGGTCTTGGAGCCGGGTGGGCGGTGCCTGGAGCTGGGAGGGCGGTGCCATTGCCAAATCCTCCTCAGCTGTTAGCAGCGGTGGTGTCATCGCCAACGTCTATGCCCAACACGTCCTCTTCCCCCAGACCATACGTCTCTGAAAGTCCGCGCAGTCCTGCCGCACTGCTGCTGCTCCCAGTTTTATCTCTCGCGGTAGGAACGGTTGAGAAAGCAGAGCTCTGCACAGTGTTAGCATGTGCAGCATCCATACCACGGCTGGTGGTCTACACCAAAGTCTTAACCCGTTGGGGGTACGAGCCCTCGGGGTCTGCTGCTGTTGTTCGTCTACTGCTGTGTGCTGCTGGGGTTGTGTGCTGAGTGCAGCAGATCAATTCAAAAATTGGTTCTGTAATAATGGATAGTTCCGGAGGCGTTTTGAGGGCAGGCCGGTCCCCGCCTGCCCTCGAGAGCAGATTTCCCGGGCGCCGCAAGCAGCTGTACAGCCATCATAGCAAGCGAGACACATAGCTCCCACGGATGCCTTGCGCCGTGGGTTCCCGCTGCCTGGCAACGCCGGACCACACACCCGGCCCCCCACTTTTTACAAATGTTGGATGTACTCACAGCATGACAGATTATTTCGAGTCAGAACTTTCCGAACAGATGGAGCGGGGAGATCCGGGGGTTCAACAGTTGGTATGGATTAGATTTGGTGGTACCAAATTTACCACATATT